TATTACTGGTATGACCAGCGAAATCGCCGGTAAATCGGGAGCGCCGAGCGAGAGTGCGCGCGCTCGCGCCGAGTGCTTTGTTGTATCGAGTGCATTATTGTGCGCACCGTGCGGAATGCAACGTGGGCTGCGCGCCACGGCGCGCGTTGCGTGCCACCGTGGCCCCGGAGTGCGCGATTTGCCGGCAGAAAAGGAAAAGTTGTAACGCACGGGGATTTCTAAATGCGCGAGGTCGCGCGCCGCGCGGCAAGCGGGCGCTCCGGCGAATCCGGGTGCCCGACTCTTAAAGATCGGCCGCTTCGCGATATACCCGCGATCGCTCTTACGTTACGCTCGTGCAAGGGTGCTAATTAAATTTTTCTAACCGGTTAGTCCGGATCGATCGAATGCTCCGCAATCACCGCTTGCGATACGCGCGATCGAAGGCTCGGCTAATTACGTAAAAATGTCACGCGGCGAAATTATATCACTCCAAGTCGGAATTCGGTGTTTGCACGCGAGAAGTCCCTTAAAGAAAGAAAAAAAATCAGCTTTTCCACCGCAATTTTTAATCTGGATGCAAATCGAATGGAGATTCGATTGTCAGAGAGATCCGAGGCTGGGCTACCGACAAAATAGCCCAACAAGTTTATCTTTGTACAGTGACATTTAATCTGTGTGTAAATCGAAAAAAAGACCCGATCGACAATGTACTTTTAAAACTTGTGAATGTTTTAAAATGGAATAGAAATTATTGTATATGTAATATGCCAAGTTTTGTTTTACTTTCCAACATTTCGATTCGAATATCAATGAGATGAATAAATCGATAGTTTGTATTCAGAAATTTCGTATCTCGAAATCAGAATTCATATTGAGATGTAATAACATAAATTTACCTTTGCTCTTGAATTCTTACCTCGGGTGACTACTTAAAATGAATTCTGTCATCAGCTGTTTTTGCCGGACGTATCTATCCATCAATCGATTAGCTAAACAAATTTCGCGTGTCACTTAGTAGCTATGCATAATTCAATATATTTATCGTCGTGAAATTCGTGCGTCATCGAGTTTATCGATTTCGATTACCGCGTAAGCTGAATCCGATGGTAAACGTCGATGATTTGTCGCCGATAATCCCGACTTGAAAACGTACCTCGGAGCAAGTTATCTTTCGCCAAACGCTAGATTAAATTTACACGCTGACGTAACGCGTGCGAGTCACGGGCAAGTCTCTTAAAAAAAAAAAGTAGTCACGATCTTGAAACGTCACGTTGCATTATTTTGTTCTCAGCTCGATTGAAATATCGTGTCACGGCAACGACATGTGACACCGATCACCGCATTGCCATAACCGATCTACATTAGTAAAAGCGTACGAAAACCAGTCGTCCTGAAAATTGATAACTATCCTAATTAAAATTCCGCTTGCATCGGACGGAATTCTACAGCGGATGATAAATTAAATAATTACACAACAACGAGCCAGCAGCAGGTGATTACGCGAGCATCGATCGAGTCCTCTTGCTCCGTTCAGACGATACCTTTCGCTTTCAACGGCGATTCGTTCGCAACACACGAGCGTTTAATCAGCCGTTCGCGGGGATTACTTCGTTAGCTCGGACGTTTATCGGCCGTAAACGAGAGCGGCGAATAACTTGGTGCGATCGAGGGCCCGGTGCAAGCAACCGAGTGGAACCTGAACGCTTTCGCTGAAGGAAGCATCTCCTCGGGGATTGTCTACAGCCGAGTTTTATTATACATTCCGGGACGCGAATAATAGCGTTGCAATGTAACGCCGTGGAAGCCGCCATGCCGGACGAGGATCGCATGCGTTTCCACCCGGGACATTGCACCGGTCGCGAACACGTGTGTCGACGCTGACGGTGAAGACCCGGATGATATGGGAGCCGGCAAAATGAATAGAGAGATTCCTAGCAGCACCCTCGCGACCTTGAGGGGGATCCTGGTGAGCTCGTTGTCGAGGGAGAATCTCGGCCCGCACGACCTCCCTCTTCACGAGCACACGAGGCATCGTTCGTCCAGAAAAGTGCACTTTCACGAAGGTAAACTGGAAGTAGAAACCATCTCGAGGATAACGACCGAGTACGTTTCCGCGAATGAAACGTGCGCTATCTTTTTCCGCATAAGGGGATTCGCGAAATTGCCTCGCGACCCTTCGTGTTCCATCTACGGATTTTAGCGAGCGACCGCGAGTACTTAAAGAAAATGATATTTTCCCGAAACGGCGCGTAAAAATTTTGATCAAGACTAAAGCAGCGGCTGAATCCAATTTACATACGAGGCGACTCCAAGTAGCGAAGGGAGGGCCTGATTGCACGGAAGCGCATCAAGTTCCCAACATTGAGTGCATCCACACGTTGTGCATTTCCCCTAATGACCGTGCGATAATTTAAATATAAACGGAGGAAGCGGCACGCCCATCGGCCGATGACATTGTTGATCGATTACGTCGATTTATATACGCTATAATCGTTTATGAGACGGATATAACGAAGCAGATTCTCAAACCGTCTCTCACGGTATCGATTTATGGGGGATCGAAATAATTGCGGGGCCGCAATCCGGCCAACTTAATTCGCGCGATCGACAAAAAATACCAATTTAATAAGCTGTTACTGTCAATAAACAATTATACCTCGTTCGAAACGAAGTGACTCTTGAATTTTTACCGAGCGAATCGATTTCAAATTAGCACTTCTTGAGAGACGAAAACTAATTTCCCTCCTCGGTCACATATAGCGAGATTCAAATTAATGTTAACTTGGAATTGACTATGCATCGAGCGCTAAATGGGTGGTTCGCCTTCGTACGCTTCAAGGATATCCTCCGATTTGCACACGTTTCACTTAAGAGTGACATTGCGCGCGTAACTTACTTAGCCAGCAGCCGACAAAACAACGACACGCGGTGATTTTCTCGGACATAATCGATCCGCCCTAATGAACGGATCATAATGAGCTCCTGAGAGCTTTTCGCGATCGAAACTTCGTCCGACGCACGAGTGAGCTTATTAATCGACTAATAAGAATTCTTCAATGTCGCCAGCGATAATTAACAACGTCAGTGTTTTCTTGACCATACCAGGCACTTTTAATAATACAGAAAATTTCTTGCAAAAAATATTCTGAGTAATAATTTAGAATTTCCTCTACATTCACATTATTTCAGCAGTGGAGAATCGCTCGAAATTTCCTGGCTTTCGCTTGAAATTCCAAAGACCGCGGAGAAAAGATGGTACGGTCAGCGTATTGCAGTACGCACCGTGCGTACGCGAGCGAATTTTCTCATCGACGGAAACACGCGACGGAGATGCATAAAATAATGCAACTTCCTTACGAGGAGCGAGGAGAAGCTCGCGGTCTGCGCCGCGCAGGCGGCGATGTCCCGATAAGAATCTCGCGACGCGTTTCTCGTTAAGCGCATTAAATGCCGGCGCTGCTTAGGAAGCGACGTCGAGCACCGGCCGCACCGCCACTTCATAGTCGTTCTGGGAACGATCGTTTCCTCGGCGGCGGATCTCCCAGACAATTACCGCGCACGCCTGCTCCGTGACTAATAGAATCCGTTGATGTCACGCGCTGAAAAGTACGCCGAGATGCATTCTCGAAGGGACGGACGTCGTATGAAACGTGCGACGATGTCTGAAGTTCCGGCGCCGTGTGCCGATTGTTGTCTGATCGGGAACCCGAGACGCGACGCAATTGGAGTGTCGTCACGCGCTTAGAACCCGCACGTAAAACGCGTTCGACGAAGAAAACGTGATGCATCTTCGGAGACGCGTGACGGCACGCGTTGATAAGATAGCTGATCGATAACTCGAAGATAAGGAGACGACTTCTTTAGGATTCTGTCATTGATTCGACGCTTTCGTCGTAGCCGACTGCGACACCCTCGAGAAGCATCGTCACTCACGAATCTCCATTAACCAGTCTGTGTGAGGAGGAAGCGGGGGCGGGAAACGGCATGGGCGGGATTGTTAATTACAGGATAAATCAATTCACGCCCCAATTAATTGACTCGCCATTCCCGTTTACGCGAATTCTGTCTTCCGTCCGTGCTATTTTCGTTAATTTGCACGCGATATAGACACACCGACAATCCTCCTTTCGACGGTATGCAGTCCCAATTCTCTCCCTAACTGAACGGTAGAAACTTCATTTACGACTTCCGTTTTTCCAAAATACTCGAGCTTGTTTCATCGTTAATGTTGTCACGTGAATGACAACGTAAAAATAATTAAATATCGCTAGTAAAACTCAGCGTACACGAATTGCGTGATAAATTTCTTTTTAATAACAGCTTTACTGCGCTGATCACAAATGTTTGATAATATTGAATGGCTGGCTAATAGAGCAATGAGAATCAGAAAATATTGACGCGTGACATTTCACTCGAATCAATATTTAATAGTAACAAAATTTGGTAGGGGATTAAACACGACAACGTGTGCGCTTGCAGCATCAGTTTGCCTCGGTTGGGGATCAATAGTTTCCATCACTGATCGTTTATTGTCAACACTCGTAGATTATATATCAATACCTTGAAACTAAAACAAACGATATCATCCCGTCCCCTAGAGGCAGAAGTAGGTATAATATTTATAGCATATTTATTGCATACACGATAAAATTTTAATATTTCACTCTCAGGCTAAAAACCGGGTCGTTCGGATTCAATATTTTAATATCTCGTCGTGTCTATTAAGAAATATCGGTGCAATATCTCGGAAAACTGATATTATGTATTTGCCGGCGATAATATTATATCTTTGGGAAGAACGCCTTTTTTGTAATAGACTTTTTCCTTCTTGTGCTTCATTTTACAAGACCTTTTTTTCTAAAGAAATGTAACATCTCACATTCGAACCAATGTAGTCGTTCAAGAATATCTTTGTCCGCATTGCACCAAAACATAGAGCGCTCACTACTATGCGACATTATATAATGTCTTGTCGTTCGGTAATTGCAATAGACCTTATGTTTTCTCTTCTGTTTCAGGTGAGTACCCCGCCATAGAAAGCCGCTATACGGGTCATCCAGATAATCGCGGTATGTAGACGTCGTGCGAATGCAATTACAGGACACACCGTGCTCGGTCATTCTCTCGAGCCCAACATTTCATTTTGTCCGATGCTTCCAACCGAACAGCAACCCGATAAAAACGTGAACCCGATGTGTTCTCCAACGGGGATCGACATCGGTAGAATTTCGACGAGTTCAATAACTCACCGCGATATAATCAAATTGAACTAGCAATTCCAAGTGTTTTTATCGCCTGGTGTAAAATTTAAGTATTGCTCATTCGAATAGTGTCAGAAATTATGAATTGTTTTAGTAAATTTAGTAAATTTTTCGGCACAACGATAGGAATAAATTTACGTTGCCGATTACGCCGAGAGCCGTGGGCGCGACGACGCGGGAATGACCAAACGGCCTTTCAAGACAGGAAGAAATAAATAACGGTCGGATTAATTCCCGAGATTAGGGGGGAATTTACGTATCGAGGCCCCCGTGGGAAGTCCACGGTGGTCACGCGATATTGCACTTCAACACGTTTGCATTCCGCGAGAGCCCGGCGCTTGAGGGAGGGATAAAGCGAAAATGATCGGTGTGCCATATTTCAGAGTCACTTTATCGGCGAAGTCGTCTTTTAACGGCGTCGTTATCGTTACGCGCTCCAAAGAGAGAGAAAGAAATTCACCGAGTCCCTCTTTGAGAATACGTACGTGCTCAAAGAGCTTAATCCGCGCCCAAAGGGCGCATCGTACGGCAAATTACCCGAGCGAAACTTCGGTGCATCGCGTATATATGCGTTCGTTCGGCTTCTCTCTCTCTCCCTCTCACATTGTGCAACATGTCGAGCAGCACTAAAGCAGCGCGGAAGTACCATTAAGAAGGTCCTTTTCCAAGTACTGATGGCCAAAAGCAATACCCTGCCTCGAAAGGGTGCCGGGCGTGACGAGCAATTAATTCCAGGCTCTTTCGGGTCTTCAGAGTTTGTGATAAGGTATGCTGTGTGTGTCGAGTCGTCAATAGTTCTAAGTCTTTCTTAATCAGCCCTTGAATGCCAAACAGACGAAAGGAGGATATACGTGACATTTCATTGATACTTAATACATTGTTAACAAACATCTAGAGAGAGAGAGAGAGAGAGAGGCTGGGAAAAAATAATAAAGTTGGTAGAGGAAACAGGCAAAATTCTGAAAAACGAGGTCTGTTATTGACGCGAATCAATGGAGCCTTGAAACGGTGTCGTTGACGAACGTGTTGCTAAATATTGATTTTAAATCAAGAGCGACGTTGACCATTGTCAATTTGCACCACTGGACAAATATAAACGCGATCGATATGTATATGTCAAAGCGTTCTGGTTTAACTCTTGGACTGCGGATAGTTTATTTTCACACGTCGAACGCACGATTAAAGAAGATTAATTATTTACGGGCAGACGCTCCATATTTTAAGACACTTGATTGATTGTCACACATTACCAAAGTTGTTCAGTATTCGTTATACTATTTTAGAACGAGCTATGTGTTTGTTAAAATAGATTTGGTTTACTTAGCGCGGTAAAGTTTGTTTATCAAAAATACATACGTTTTCTAGGCGATGCTTTAATTTTCGATGCATTTTATGATGTAATAGTCATCGTCTTCCATATATGAAACTCGTGTTTCACGCGAGCTTAACTTTATGACACTCGCTATGATATAAATAGTAAGATTAAGATACTCTTATCGCATTAGTACAAGCCACAATGTTACAGTACGCCGTGACAAATATAATTTCCTTTGACTCGGCGTGTGATTGCGCACACATTTTTATCATGACGCTTTCCCCAATGTGACGTCACGAAAATGTCTCGACCCACTTCAAGACAGGGCCCTAGTTTGTCAAATATTTAATTAAATATTTTCAGATCGATAAAAAAAGTTTTAAGGAGGACAATTTCGTCTATTTCGATCATTTCCGTATTTTACTGTCTGTTATCGTATATCCATTTTTCTAAAGTGACGTGAAATCCGCATAACGTTCGAAGATTGTAATTTCCGGTGCGTAATCGATGTACGATTCTCCACTCGATATTTTACATGTTGAACTCGTTTGATGGATCTGATCGATATATCGTTAAATTGGTTAACCGATCGGCGTCTATCAGAGAGCCGACTCCGCAAATTCACTTCAAACGCAAATGCTATCGACATTCGGATGGAGAAGACTACGGCATCCCATCTGTTTCCGTTGCGCGAATCTCCTCTTCCGACTACTCTGGCAAGAAGATCTTGAATAAGACAGTGTCGGGGATCCAGCTGCTGAATGGCTTTACGAAATAATACCGCGTGATAATTAATGTGCTACACGGGAGTGTTTCATTGCATTAAATGGTTTAGTGTAGTGTTCGTGGAGATATATTTGACTTAACATGCTTCGCGCAGTCTAATAAAATCGCCGAGAAAGTTCACAATGCCATTCTTGGTAAAACACTTTTATTCTCACGCGATTCATGCATGCACGTAACTGGCAAACTGCAGTTTTTAAATGCAGAGGTATTAACTATGACTATCGTAAAAGTTGTTCCCGTGAAAAAGGCATGTAATCTCTTTTCTAGCGTATATTACAGGCAGGTATATTTCTCTAGGACTTCTTTTGCTAGACAGTAGACATGACAGAGAGTTAAGAACTAAAAGTTGTTGACCAAACATGTTGTATGCCCTAGATAAAAAAATCGCGATTCTTTTCTTTCATTATGTTTCTACTAATTTCCAGCTTACTTATTTTTTCCGGCTAGCAGTGCAATCAATTTCCCATTGCTTATTCAAAACGGTATTAATACTAATAGTATCAAGATTTTAATTATATATCCGTATTTAAATAATGAAATACGAATCGGTGAAACAATAAAATAATCTGCCTAATCCGTTCATGGCTTTCGATTCGATATCGACAGGTCCGAGTAATATTGCGTTTTCCTGATCGATTTGCGATTCACAAATCCCACGGATGAGCTGACAATGACGGGATTAAGATGCACAAACGAACCGCTTCCATTCGATGAACGTGCACGCTTTACGTCCGCTTGGCCCACCGCGAATATCCGCCTTTCCACGTGGCGAGAATAGTGATCGGGATAACGTATTCAGAATAGCGGAGAGTGGTTTCTTATCGTGAGTCATTGTATTAATTAGAAATTGCTTACCGAAACTCTCAGACCCAGAGATCGATAAGTTAGGTATAACGGACGATGAAGAAAGTTTTGAGTTCGTAATGGGGCTTTGCTGTCAGAGCTATTTGAGATTCAGTCATTTCTAGCAACTGTATAATATTTACCGGTCCTCGTCGCGACATTTCGAGCTAGATTACCTAGAATGGAACTATAAACGGGAAAATATTTGGCCAGTTTATGACAGTTCTCATTCCTTGTCCGAGAAATCTAGATTTAATACGTGCGTCTGTTAACTAAATAAAAATGTTATTTCACGAGGTATACTTCTGTACATTTTTCTATTATTCAACAAGAAGCAACGAGGAGAATTCCGATTTCATAGAAGATGGATCCGAATAAAAACGAAAATATTCCCGCGTACAATATTTTTAGGAAGCGAAGCGTTGGGAAAACAAAAGGGTTGCCCCAAATATAAGGCTTGCAATCGGGAGCGTAAAAAAAAATATTTTCGTACGAAATTATTCAGTATGCAAGATCCCTCATTTTTTTCTTTATATTTTCTTTTTAATCAATATTGTATTCTACGATAATCTTATTTTTGCCCAACACAGGAAGGAAAATGTCTCACAATTAACGACGAAAATTAATTTTCGTACAACGGCAACACGGAAGTTTCCTCGTTGCCCGCAGTAATTCGCAGTCATTAAAATCGAGTTCTCGCTCTGTTTTCTGCTAAATTTACGTCCGTTACGCATGTCGACGCTGCCAGCAGTAGGTCGCCATTGTAGCCCCGTTCATCATAAGAACGAAACGAAAATCAAATTGAAAAAGTTACCGCGTATTAGCAAAGTATGAAATGGGCAAAAACAATTATGGACGAAAAGCGCAAGGGTAAAGCAAACGATTTAACGTCGCTGTTAACATCGTTAATATATAAATTACATCGGGATGTAATTTACATACTACATTAATATACTAAAATTAATGTACACATAGTAATTTCAGTAAAAGAATTTCCAGGGTCTGTTCCAAACTTCACACTAATATATATCACCGATAATACCGTCCATCCTTTGACATCGAAATGTGCCGTACGCCTTTGTGGCTCGAAAACACTCAACTCCGTTGAGGTGGTCCACCAAAACCAGCTACAATAGCGAAACAAAGGAAGCTGCGCGGCATCGACCTTATCTCGATCGAATAAAAATGCCTGAGGCTTTCGGTGCACTTGACATAAATCTCGGACGTGATAAAAGGTTCGCGGTAACGAGCGATACGGCCGATCGTTAATGCCACGCACGAGCCGAAATTTGCGAGAAAATATTTTTATCCCACTTCCGACAAATCCTAAGGACCGACATCCTCGAAGCACGATCGAAAACAGAAATCTAAAATTATTCTTATCGTGTCAATGCGATTTGTTGACACCATTTTGCAATATTTACCCGTTTAAAATGCTTTTAAAGAGATGACTTTTACGGTGTATTACAATTTATTCTTCTTTATACTTTTTTCATTAAATAAATGGAATTTTTTATAATATAATATGAATAATTTTACATATTCTTCATTGTATAATATATATAAAATATGTCGAGCAATATACCCCCCGCAGATTATGTTTATTCCCGTTTCAATATCGTACCAGATAAATTCAAATTCCCTTTCAAGTATCTTATATAAAAATTTTCAAACACGGACACATTGTTACCAGAAAAGTATTACCGATATCGTGGTTATGTGCTTGTTCTAGCCCAAGTTTTTGAATAATTCCTCCCTCGTGTGGCGAATACGCGGTACGTCGATCTGCCTCGCAGAGATGATCGTCGAGTTTGCCACGGCGAAGTTCGCTTAAAACTTCCGTCAAAGACGACTTTCAGTTTTG